CCATATGCGTAACAGAGTAAAACATGGCTAGGTAATGCACTGTAGATGTGGTTTGGGGTATGCTCCAGTCCACCTGGATAAGCCCTTCTCTGCCAGGGGCTTATCTCTCAGTATCATAGTGGATAATGTTCTTTTGTGATACATAGGGGTGGGACTTTTTGACTGATTTTCAGATGTAAGTCATCAAGCCTTTCTTCCTCAGCTCCCTTAAGTTCCACTAAGACCTGCCCACTATGATGATCCTGCTGGCATGTGTAATGCCAGTGGCATAGGTCCCAGCATCACAGCAACATTCAGCTGTTGGAGTATAACAAACTGCCAGACGGTGGTAGATAAGTTACTTTAAAAGTGATGGAATGGTGACCCTTCAGGTGTTTATTCTGAGTACCTTCTCCCATCTCCACATTTTACATTACCATCCTCACCTGTGCTAGTCCCCTCACTCAGTAATTACAACCTGGCCACTTAATGTCACCCACAGTAGAATGGTGAATGGTGGCTGAACTTGCTGTCTTAGAGGTTCACGTCAAACGGTTAAACTCCTTCTTCCACAAGCAGATGTCATAGGAGCTAGGGTTATTGTTGTTTATGTTCCAAGGGTTAAAGTTCCTGGAGCTGGTCCAGCTCTGAGTCCCTTATTTTTCAGATGGGTTCTAAGTTAGATGCAAATTGTTGCAGTTTTGACAAGTCTCGGAAACACGCCTGGATAGCCACTTCAGACAGTATGTGTCTCCAGCCTCTGTCGGATTGGTTATTCCGTTGTCACGCTGATTCAGCCTAGGGAATTTTGCCTCTAGTTGTGAATTAAATTACTTATTTGCTTTTCAAAAACTTAAAATACATTGCCGTCCCCAAATTACCCCCTGACTTACAATTTGGTTTTGGACCCAAGATGCTACCTTTTTCTGGTTACATTTCTGAAAGTGTCAGTTCCCACCCACCCCCACCTCCACCTCAACTTGTCAACAAACCAGTTGTCATGCCAGTTCCACCTTGGCAAGAGGAGACTTTAGAGACAGAATGGCTCTGCTTTCTACCAAAGACAGAGAAAGCTATGCATCTATATTAGCAGCAGACTCAATGATCAAATGTGTACGATCACCATAAAATAAAACTCAGGAGAGATTTTTATGCACATTTACATGCAATACACTAGAAAAGAATATATATATATATATATATATATATATATATATATATATATATATATCAAGAAATAAGGAGGAAACAGTGGTGCGTCAACACATCCTGTACAAAGATCTTCCTTGACTACGATGTCATCTTTCTCTCAACTTGTTGACAGTAAATAATTACAGGCAGAACAATTCTGAGCCATTTTACATGTATATTCTTCAGGGATATAAAGGTGAATGCAGACTAACAAAAAATACTAAGAAACCATGAACAAAATGGCTGAGTATAGAGTTGCTATTAGAATGAATATTTTTTCCTTTTTAAAACACATTTTTTTGCTTGATGATTAACAGACCTAAAGGGCCCATTGGAGTCCCAGGTTCCAAAGATTGATTCCCCTGTCTTTTACAGCTGAATTTGTTCGTTCTAGTTCTTTGTCCCTGGAGAATTTTGCCAATTTCATAATTGAGGGGTAGAGAGGAGATTGGGGAAGATACCAAAGATAGCTTGCTGTGTGAGCTACCAGTGTAACATCTTCTGGGGCAAAGTTTTGGGGGTCACTTTGTTACTTATCTCTGTATGTATGTATATGATTTTGAAAACAGTTACATTACACATCTGCATCTGGTCTAAAAAGTCAAAAGCATACTTTTGCATACTGACCAAAAACTGTTACCAAAGTGCTCTTTAAAAACACAATGGTTCCATTTAACTCAGATCTCTTTGTATTTGGCCAGCTTAAAACAACAGAAAACAAATTTTACTACCATGAACTTGTTTCATATTCCAGGACCTCGCAGTTTGTGGTAAACTTGATAATGAGATCTGTATTCTGTAAGAAGATTTTGCTTTGAATTGAAAGTTGACTACAAGAACCATATTCTTGCCTTGACTTTGAAAGTATCTTCAGAGCAAATGAAGAGCCAAACCACCCTCTCCAGTGGAAAAGGGGGTCTTGTTTGGATAACATTTTGACTGAATGTGGACATTTTATAGGATTTTGACCATTCTAAGTTGTTATTTGGCAAGCAATGCCCATGGGGACACCTCTGACCAATGTGTCCCCAGAGTGCTGACCATTGAACTTCAGGTGAATTACACATGCAAACCAAAGGCAAGGAGTAGATGTGGTAATGAAAAGATGAGGCTTCTTTTCTTTATTCTCCTAATACTATTAATCAAAACTCAGACAGGAGACTTGATATAATATTGAAGGGCAGTTCTAGATTGAATATTTAGATGGCCATGATTTTTCTTTCAATTTCTGAATTTTATATTTTAGAAATATGAACTTTTAAAACAGTAGGTTCTCAATACCTTGTAGCTTGCCGGGGAAATATTGTTTTAAATTGTCATACTCCGGAAGGAGTTGCTTTCTCTGCTCTCGGCCGCTCTGTAAAATCGATTGGAGAGTGTTGACATGCATGGTGTTGAGAAATCAGGGACCGGTCAAGCCTTCATTTGTTCTATGGAGGGATTAACAAACAGTTGGTGGAGGGAGGAGAACACAAGTGTCAGTTACAGGAGAACAAGGGCAGATCTGTTCTGACAACCTGGCAATGAAAACCTTTTAATCCACATGGAGCCACAGAAGGTAGCCCTTGGATGCCAAGAACTCAAGCAGGGCACGTGCTTCATTCTTGGCTCTCGTGTTGGGACTGCCCTTGCCATGCTGGTCCGCAGGAGACGAGAAAGCTGCCAATCTGATGTTCTCATGTGTTACTTTCCAGTGTCACATCTGTAACCTGACCATTAAGGTCTAGACATCTGGCACAAGTCATCCAAACAATACAGCCCCTACTAATGAGCAGCAAGTGTGCCCTGGTCTGTCACTGAGCCCAAGTCCTCCATGGGCTGCATTCCCTGAAGCCTTGAACCCGCCTACTTGGAAGGTCACCTGAAGGTCTTCATATATTCAGTCCGGTCTATAGTTGTTCCTTTTCTCATGTTTTTGCCGGTTGGTCTGCACAATAATTTGATTTTTGATTCTTGATGTTAGGCAGGGATTCTAATGGTCATTTCTGATGTTTCACTGGTTCATAACCTATGTAATCACAGGCTCGGCATTTTTCTTCCTCAAGAATCTCAGTGAACAGGCAGGAATCTGTCCACATTTTCAGCCCAGTCACCCTCCTTTAATCCTCCTCTCTCGCACACATGCCCTTTCGCTCCTCTACTCACCCACCCAGGCAGGTCTGTCAGCAGGAACCAGAGGTCAACATCAAAGAGGCTCCCAGCCAGAAGCATGCCTTGAATGCTGGCTGGCTAGAGAGAAGCTGAGTGTGGGGGAGACAGAAGGCAACCAGCGTGAGGAGGAAGTGCAGGATCACTTGAATGGCCTCTTACAGAGAAACAGGCTGAAGAACAGACCAAAATATTCCCCCACTCTTTGCGATCTGCCTGGGCCGTGTGGGCATGCGTAGTGGCACAGCCAAGTATGGACTGCATTAGTCCTCATTCAGTTGACAAACAAGAGGCCTAATTGAGAAGAAAAATCTCCTATCTTATTATTTCTTAGTGTTCATCCATGTGGGGAAAATGCCCGTTTGGAGAAAAGGAGTCCTGAGGTGGTTTTTTTTATCTCTCCTGACTGAATCCTGATTGGGAAGACAGTTAAGAGATTGTTATTTATTTTTAATTTCCAGAGTTTTAAAAAACAACACATTAAATATGGTGAGTCATATGGTGAAGGGGAAGTTTCACAGGTGATACTTGTATATCTGGTCAAATATCTCCTTTTTCTTAATTCTGCTTTATGACAATACCAGAGGATGCCACAGGGTGAGTGATAAAACCAAGTTCTGGAGTTTTTTGTGCTGCTTACACTGTGACAGGAGGAGATGGCTGGATGCAGACTGGTTGCCTTGCAGACCAGGGTTTAGCCATACAGGTGTCCCCCCCC